CAATGTCATAGTATCATATCAAATTAGATTTAAGGAGACCATTTGAGTGACAAAGAATTAAACATAGACTGAAGGTGGATCTTAAGTTTGGTTTCCTTAGGCATAAGAAGTTGTATTCACATCAACTATCAGAGAGACAGCACGTTTTATAGGAAAAAGAGCACAGGCTTCAGAGTTTAATGTTTTATCTCTACCTTGGCTACCTCTGTGACTTTACACAGGTCGGTCTTCAGGCTTGTCTCGATTTTCTCATCAGAAACCGGGAATGGGGGTTGTGGGGTGGGGTGTGTGTGTGGCAGGAACAGCACCTACCTTGCTGGGTTGCTGAGAGTATTAACGAAATCACATATGCAATTCACGTGGAACGCAGGAGGCGCTCAAAAGGTTCATTTTTCTTCTCTTATGGCAAACTTTCCCAGTGCGTGGGCCTGGGCTGTCTGGAGTCCATCCCTGGCTAATATTTCATGTCAACCCAAGTATGCAGCACTGCTGCTCAGCCCCGCAGCCAGGGAAGTGGGATCGTTTTTACTCAGAATTCTAAAAGTGCAGCAATCAAGGGAGGAATAAAAGAATTTAAAATGTGCTCAGTAGATTCTACTAGTAAAAACTGAGAATGTTTTAATACCAACACAGGGATGTGTAGAATTGTGGTAACTAGTTGCATTAACTGAAGAAAGAAGAATACCTTTGTCTAGAATGTTCAGATTAAATGCAAAAGTCATTTTTCTGCTCTCAAGGCAGCTAAATTACCTCAACTGACCACTGTACTTTATTCATATAAAAGAGCTTAATTAAAGGGAGGGCAGAGGTCACCTTTTTTTATACCATCAGAAAAATAACCAAAATAGAAAATGAAAAAAAAAAACCACCCCTCAAAATTCCAACTTTTACTTCAAATGGTATATATTTCCTTATGAAACAGCAACAGGTGAGTTAAGTACCCAAGAACTGGAATCAATCTTTCTTCATGATTGTTGGCCAAAGTCTTCCTCAATATAAAAGAACGTTTTTGGATTCCAGTGTGATTTCTCGGGACTGGTAAGTCACCTAGTAATAATCTTAAGTCCCCAACATTCAGAATTTTGGCAACAAAAACAGACGGTTAATTCTATTTAAAAGACAGGGTAGCCCTGCCAGTGTTGTTCCCAAATGAGGTAATGTCCACGGCTCTTATCTAGCCTTTATTGAGATTTAATGTCATTTAACACTGGCTCTTGGGAACCTGCTGCATAATCTCACCTTTTCTGATGTGCGCTACTTCCAGTCCATTCAACATGGCAATTATGAACCTCTGGTTTTTAAAATGATTAAGAAATGAATCCCATATGTTTTTATTTTTTTGCATGTCCTATAATTTGAGTCTTTCTTCCGCAGTCCCAGAACATTTCAGAGATCAGCATATTTCTCGTTTTTAAGGTATACTTATAAAAATACTTCAGAGGTTTGATATATTTATGTAAACATTTTTCAAAGAAGTCAAAATGTATAATTCAAGAAAATGTTCTGTGAAAGAATTTGTTTTCTGATTACAAAATGATTTCCTGCTTTTGAAAAAACAACACTTTTATATTTACTTAGCTGGCTCTCAAAGTCCCATGGAGATTATCATTCCTTCAATCCCTAGCATCTCTTTTCCAGGTGCAGGCCTTTTACTGATTTCAAAGGTAGCTTTATGCAGAGAAGGAATCTATAAGCTGCAGACGGGAAGGAGAAAAAGAGCTCTCCCCATCTTAACCCCTTATGCTTTATGCTTTCCCCATAAAGAACAGCGGGGTGAAAGAGAACTGTTACAAACAACACAGGTGAGGCACAGAGTGGACATGACCAAAAACAAAAAACAAACAAACAAAAAAACAGTCACATGCCTTTGACTTCCTTTTTTCTACCAGAGTATAATCCAGTTTTGGTAAAGACAGGAATCTGTTTGACAAACATGAACAAAATACCCGACACTCACAGCGGTTCCACCCCCCACCCCTGAGCCCTTCCTGTCTCCAGTGCTCCAGGACGAGCGCAAGAGTCGCAACCACCCAGAGTCACAGGGTTTTAACCTTCTCACGCTGTTTCGCATTTTATGTAGCAGAAAAAAGTAAAATTGAGGATATCAAAGGCAGCGCAGAGACAGAGCAAATAACCATGTTTTGTTGATGGGCAGACTGGGGAAACACAGGCCAGACCTGTCAGCGGTGCGTGTGGGAAACTGAGCTGGGAGGCCCCTTCGTGTAACTGGTGAAAAAGCCGAAGCAGCAATTCCAACCTCACCACTTCTGACAACGTTCAGCCAAGAGTGGATCCTCACTAAAGAAAATCTGAAGGCTGATTCCCCTCTCAGCAATGTGAGCCTTCCTTCTAAGTCAGCTGTATAATCTATGAATCTTTGACAAGGCTGTTCTGCATTACTCATTATTGCCAGCCCCTTCCCTTCAAAGCAGCAGCAGCCTGATAGAATCAAGAGATCTAACTTGCATGGGCCTCAGGTTCCCATCTTTATCACAGGGATAGAGTGAAAAAACCCAGGGCGATGAGTGGCCAAGAGTTTGTCCTGAAGAAAGCACCAAAGATTCATAATGTATATGACATAGACCAGAGGAGCTGGTCTGGGGGCTTTGGGTGTCGTGCACTCTTTTTAGGGGGCCTGAAAGCTTAAACATTTTCCAAAATGGTGCTTAGGCATCACTTTCCTCTTTTAGTCTCGTTCTCCCACAAGCGCGCAGTGGAGCTCGCCAGAGGCTGCAGGGATGTGATGATGGCATCACCCTAATGACTAATGGAATGGGTGCTTGTGAGATCTTGTGCTTTAAGATTTTCTGTTTTAGTTTCTGATTGAATATTGATAGACAAGAGCTCTTTGGGACCCCGAACACCCTTTAACAGGGTAAAGAGGTCCTGAGATGAGTCTGAGACCTGCCAACCAAGGACTTCAGTCCCCACCCAAACTTGTGGTTCCCAGATGGGCTGACTTCTCACCCACTCGGAGCCTTTCTATCAGTTGTTCTGTCTGCCTGTGACACTCTCCCTTCCTTCACTTGACTACCTTCTTCTGCTCTCTGCTTAGATATCACTTTTTCGGGGAAGCTTTCCCTGACTTCCCCAAAACCTGTCAGGTGACCCTGCTACGTGCTCCCCTAGCACTTAGCACACTATCAATACATTATGATTACCCATTTCTTGGTCTTTTCTCGTCCTTGACTCATTCCATACAAGAACCGACTGTCACTGTGTTGACTGTGACACAGTAGTATGCAAGGGGCAGTCCAGTAAATAACTGTTGAATATGTGAAACAATTAAGGAAGGAAGGGAAGAACATAGGTCTTTCTTGCATTCTTACTTAGAGGGAATCAGTTACTAAAAATATTAGTTTTCATTATAGTACAGGCTCATTAAAACTATGATATAACAATAATACCTATCTATATCTCTATATCTTACTATGTACCCGGTACTATGTTAATAATTCAAAGCACTTCTTATGCATTAATTCATTTAGTCCTCACCAAATCTCTATGAGGCATACAAGGTCAGTCTAGAAAAAGTTCAACCACTGTTAATATAGCTAGAACAGTTTGTGCGATACGGATGTAACCTGGCAGCCAAGGAGAGTGGACTGAAACACACATGTGTGAACAAAGATGTCTTCACTGTACTAGTCAGTGGGGGCAGTAGATGCCGTTGAGTGAGCATGTGTACTGTGTGGCCACTGCATTCAAAACGAGACTGAGTGAGTAGAGCAACAAATCTGCATAAAATTTTGTATTAAGCTTGAACATTCCTCCATATAAACTATTTGGATGACTCAGAAGCCTGCAGCTATGGGCAACTGGTGATTGGCAGCTTCATCACAACATACCTGTTCATGCATCATGTCTTGTGCAGAGTTTTTTGGCAAAACATCAAATCACCCAGGTGACTCAGCCCCTTTACAGCCCAGATTTGGTGCCCTGTGACTTCTGGCTTTTCCCAAAACTAAAAGCATCTTTGAAAGGGAAGAGATTTCAGACCATTGATGAAATTCAGGGAAAATATGACGGGGTAGCTGATGGCGATTGGGAGAACTATGTGAGGTCCCAAGGTACCTACTTTGAAGGGGACTGAGGCCTCATTGTCCTATATACAACGCTTCTTGTATTTCCTTCTCTATTAATAAATGTCTCTATTTTTCCATATTACATGGCTGGGTACTTTCTGGACAGACCTTGTATACCACTATTATCCTCAATTCAAAAATGAAGACCCAGATGTGCAGGTAATGTGTGCTGGATAACATCAAATGTCAGCAGCACAGACCTCAATGTATAACACAGATTGGAATCTCAAGGCCATCTCTCAACTCTGCTGACAAATCAGAAACATGACCTAGTATTTAAATCCCACCTCGGCCCTGGCCCACAGTGAGAGACCACAGGAGATCATGTGAACATCAGGCCTTCTCACCCATACCACCTATCCCCGAATTTATAGTTAGGGTTTAAAAGAAGTTTCCGTAAGAAGTCTATTTATTCTGAATAAAAAGTCTCCTTTGTAGCACAGGGAAAACAGGAAAGCAGGTTTGATGTTTCCATGTATTATGGTGCTGTGCTACAGGGCAAGCTCCCTGTGATGTGTATAACTCTCCTTATGTGTCTTGGGCTAATCTCTCTTTCAAGGAATGCTCACAACTTCACCCTGAACAAGTAGTGCCTTAGATTGTTCTGCAGGCACACTAGATGGAAAAGACAATTTTACCTGGTTCAGAGAGGTAACTCCAAATGGGAAAGCATGCTGTAGAAAACGGAATTTAATGCAACAGGTAATCTGGCAGAATCATAATGTGACATTATATTCACAATTGCAATGAAAAAAAAATACATATAGGAAATATCTGTTCTTTCAGCAACAGAAAAAAGTTCTATGGATAAAGTTAAAAGCCTGTGCAGCAAATCTTTACCTGCTAACACTACATGAAAAACTAAAGTTCATCCTGTCGTGTTTGATAGAAGTCACACAAAGTAACTTTACTTACCTGGAGAAGGGTCCCATGAATATGGTTTTGCCGGAAACACTGGTCAGTGCAGTTGGGGAGTTTGCCCAACAGAGTTTGGATGGTGTCAGGGATTTCATCTATCATAACAAACGGGACCAAGGCACGAGCCGCCATTTCACGGGAGCGGTAGACAGGTGAGTTACCGCATCTGCGAAGAAAAAGAAACACAAGACCATTCAATACTCACTTCCACATCTGTGCATGTGCCTGTGCATGTGCCTGTGCATATGCTGTTACCTAGCTAGCTCTGGCTGGGACACGGAGGCTGAGAGAATAGGAGAGTTACTTTTTATTCCAAATGATGTGTGTGTGTAAGAGTGTGTTAATTCTGCAGGTGACTTTGCTTTTCTCATAAATATCGTTAACATTTATGATTCTGTCACAGGGATTAATACAGACAGGCTTTGGGAATAAGACAATAGGCAAAAATGGCTTACTCCTCAACAAGCAAATGACTATTCATAGGACACTCATAATGAATAAAGGCACCGTGATAAGTGACACGAGAAGTAATACAGTCATTGTTGTCTTTGAGGAGCCTATGTTCTGGCTAGCGAGATGAGAAGTACATTTGACAAGATGACCAAAAGCACAAGACCGTACTGGAAGAATGATAAGCAGGTAATCTTGACATTATGGGTACAAGAGGGTAAGATTGTAGGTTGTGGTTCAGAGAAGGATGGAACTTAGGAAAGCAGGCATCATTTAAGTGCGCCAAAAGAAAGAGGGCAGTTGTTTCAAAGAGGTACAGTGGCATAAAGCAAGGGTAGATGCTCAAGATAGAGGTAGATGTGTCTGGGTGAAGTAGAGGCTCTTGAGTAAGAGTGGGACTTAAGGCTGGGGAGTGGGTCATACCAGACTTGGGAGTGCCAGATGGCAGGCTACCTGATTTGAACTTGTCAAGAGAACAGAAGATGGACCCTCAAGGCACCAAATCCTTGTCTCTGGGTAGACTCACACCCAAAGAGCATGAAGAGAAGCTGCCAGTTCTTAAATAAGTAAAATTTATGGGCAAGTGGTATTTTGAGATTCTACAAAGGTCACTGGAAAGGCAGGTCTTCATCCAAGGGCCTCTTGGCTGTGTAAACACTCGGAACCTGAGAGCCCATAACCATTTTGCTGAAGCTGTGCACTTGAGAGCCTTCACAGAAACAGTATTATTTGAGAGGAAAGCCCAATATGCTAAGTCCTAGCTTAAATAAGTTCTTGACTAGAATGCTCAAGACTTCGTGATCTTTCATCCAATTATAAAAGTAACCCACTCAACTTACAGAAATGTCCTGGATGCCAAGACAAGGATGGCAGAGGTTAGCAGACTCTTCAGGACAAAGAGATGGGCTCTTGTTTTGTTTGCTTGCTTTTGTTTCTCTCAAAATTAATCACTATTCCAAGAAGGAATTACTGTAAAATCTGAGCCATTAGGCCCATGTAGTCATGTAGGTGTGGCATGTAGAGGAACAAAGTCCTATGACTGAAATGTTCCCAACACCCCAGAGGTATCACCGACATTTATCTTAATATGACAATAAAAGTACAATTTCTGTACAAATGGAGTGATCCAAGTAGAACTTCACCATGGGGAGAAGGGTAGGAGAAGAAGGTGGGGAAAGAGGAGAAAGGGATACCAGGTAAGTCAAAACATTGTGTCATTTTTCACCCCCTAAAAGTGTAGGTTCATGAGGTAGGTCAATCAGAACGCACTTTCAGGATGGGGAAGAGCTCACCTTACATCATATTATGGGAAGACACTGAGACCTAAGTTTACAGTAGGTAGCTAGAGATTTCCCAGTGGTCTTTGACGAGGTTCTGCCAATTCATCCACTTTCTCACTTTAAAATGATTAAATGTTTAATCTGTAATTGGCAAATGCAGTAAAATGTTTGCTTTGGCCCATGGGCGGTTGGGGGAGGGGTTAGTGAGAAAACTTCATTTGACAGAGAAAAGAAAATACTCTGAAAATGCTTTGAGATTTAATTAGCAAATGACCTCACTCAGCACAGTCATTTGTTGTAAGCTTTCCCTTCTGTCTGTCCCCCACTCCTCCAATACACACATTTCGCGTTATAGTGTGTTTTATGTTACCGAATGGGCTCTTGTGTATAAATGTTTCTTTTCAAATACGAATAACTCTGACATGGTTACAGATGTTTAGTTTCTAATTAGTAGTAACTGTACACTAAAGAATGCCCCTCCTTTTACTCCTGACCTTTTACAAATGATGATTTCCCAAAGGAATCTGGCATCCATACAGAAAAAAGAATGGAAAGCAGGAAAAGAGCCAGAATTTTCTGCTTTTGGATACCCTGTACTAGGGTACTTTCCAAATGCACACAATCAGGTTAAAGAGCAAAACAAAACTTCTCCACAAAAAAAGTAATGCAATTACAGAAAAAGAGAAGAAGCCTATTTTTAAAGTAATATTTAATTAAGTAACATTCACTATAAAGCAATGATTAAATGTAATTTCAAACTCCTCTCTATTGCAAATTGTTTAAATGGAAGGATAGGTTATAGTACACACACACGCACGCACACACACAGAAAAAAACATTTCCAGGTTACTGTTTTGTCAGCTATTAGAGGCAGGGAGGGGAGTTGATGAGATTTAGCTTTTCTCCAGACATATGTGGCCTGCAGGGTGTGGGGATATAAACACAGTCTTTTTAACCCTAAGTGGAATATATTTAAGTGAAACTCTATTTTTCCCCTGGATAGATTCTTTGAATTTGATTCAGCAAATGTACCAAAATCAAGCAGAGATGCCCTTCAGGAACATAGAAGCCAGTGGCTGTAAGGACAGCTAACTGGAGCATCTGGATTTATCCTGCTTTGAGCACTGAGTCTTGTGACTCAGACAAGTCATAGTAGTTTCTCCGGGCCTCAGCTAAGCTGAGAATGGGGACAATCATCTATGCTCAGTGCTCTGATGTGGTATCTAAATAGAAAGCCTTTCTAGTGTACTGTGCCTGTGTCTAGTGTCTCGTATAGGATCAGCAGAGTCTAGAAACTGCAGGCCTCCAAAGCGGCCCCAGTCGGGGAGACTAAGTATGTGGTGTGAATGCTGCGGTGTGAATGCTGTGGTGTGAATGTGTTTTCAAATATTTATTTTTCAATTATAGTTGGCATATAATATTATATTAGTTTCAGGTGAACAACATAGTGACTAGACAGTTATATACCTGATGAAGTGCTCACCCTGATAAGTCTAAGAGAGGACAACAAATTCATGCTTCGAATGCAAGGAGATTTTTATTTTCCCTCCACTGAAAGTGATGATGGGAATCTCAAGCCCTTTTGAGAGGAAGTGGAACAGCATCTATTTTTCTAAGTTTCAATTTCCAGAAAATGAAGCAAGTGGACTTGCAATCTGGAAGCCCATTTCTACTTTTACCATCGTTTGTAAACCATGTCCTCGGAGGCGCCAGCTGTGGCGTAGGCCCGGACACCAGGTCCCCCGCAGGATCTGCAGGACACGCAGGCACTCGTGTCCTTAAACCTGTAGCTCTCTCACTCCGATAAACCGTGGTCATTTTAATCACACGTTTCCCGATTGCCTACCGTGTCCTTGGCACTGTGTAACGTGAGAAGTGACGCATCTGTAACAGTAACACTTGCATTCGCTGTTGCACAGCCCTGGGCAGTTTATAAAATGCTTGCACACCCCTTCGCTCTTTACAACATTCCTGTAGGACATGAGGACACTAAGAACCTAAACTGACAGATAAGAAATGAAATGAAGTGCAGGAAGGCTAAGTGGGCCCTCCAGGGTGCGTTTGTGGCAGCGTCTATGCAGAACCACCACTGCCCAAGATGAAGCTCGCGGGCTATTCCAAGCTGCGAATAGCTTCAGATTTTCACATCTGAAAATCGAGGGGGCATAACAATATCTCCCAGCTTATAAAAACACAAGCTTTAATTTACCAGTATGTGGAAAATCTCTAAATGAGCTCGTTGGATTTTTTTTTTTTTTTTACCATTTGTAGGATCATGAAAACATTTCAGAATCGAATAATATAAACTGTGGATTCTCTCACAAGAGAAATAGGTTTATGAACATATACACACAATTTCCCACACAATATTAGGAGGTTCGTGACGCACATCCAAAACCCCCTAGGGTAGCATTTCCCAGACCCAGGTCAAGAATCCAGCTGTCCCTCTGCACACAGTGTAACTGTCCGTCACATGCTCTGCCTTGGAGAAACGGAGACGGAGAATGGGGCCACTGCTAACACGGAACCACCAGCTGGAGGGGGCACCAGACAGATAACCTCACGGTCACAAATCAGTAGAGATACATGTGGGTGTGGAGCGGCACAGGAGAGCAGAGCAGGAGCAGAGCAAGAGGGAGAGTTGGAAGGGCTTTTGGGAGATGATAAAGGAATTTCAAGTGAGGGTGATACATACCTTTGGATTTCAGGAACCTGAAGATCACTGAGAGTTTAGAATATAGTGTTCTGAGCAGGGAAAGACCACTCTTCTGAGATCATCCCCCCATTCTACCCAGCTTCACAGAGTGATGGTTAAGCTTTTTTTCTAGGTGTTTCCCACTTATATTTATCCTAGAATCTGTTCAAGTCTTCCTGAAAGGTTTCACAGATGGGTGGCTAGATATCACCCAAACCACTTCTGCTCACCCATACCTGTGGGTTAGGCATGGGGACAGCTCCTGAGGGCCTAGCGCAGGCATGCGCTCCGTGAAACACAGGAGAATCAGCAAGAAAAGTCACTGCCTGGGCCACAGGGAATCTACAGCCTAGCGGGGGAGACAGAGTCAATACTTTGCAGGGCCATGAGAAGTAAACACAGGCTGCTGTAGAGGAACTGACGTGGGACACCAAGAGAGGGGGCGGGTAGTCTGGGAGGTCACAGTGCAGCTGTGACTAAGTGGGGTCACACAGGAAGAGGTGTCCTCCTCAGGCCTGTGCCTTTTCCTACATGAACCCAAACTGCTCCTCAGCACATCTGGTCAGAAGGAAGGGAACTGAGGTTTATTAAATGTGTTCCAGGCCCAGCGAACTACTTGAGACACTATTTTACTTCACTAAATCGTCATGACAAGGTCATTATCATCATCCTATTTTAGGATAAGGAAAGTAAAGTTTCCCAACATAAACCTGGCAAGTGGCACTGTTATTAGGGTGTGTC